TTTTTTTTCTCCCTAAAACGGTTGCAAAGTAAGTTGTTAGACTGCATTCTTTACCTAAAACTGGCCCCTCGAAGTGAACCACATTCCATTATCTATTCAATATTTTGTTCAGAACTTAAGATTTTCTCTATCGTTATATATTTTCTGATTTTGTGGATAATGTAATTAATTACAACATTTTAAAAAAAAAAAAAAAAAACATTCAACTTGGTAATACAATTGGGCTTTACTAAGACCCAACTGCATCATCAGATTGAGTATTCTTTTTAAAAAATAGCAAACAAACTCATTTAAGCTTGTTACTTTTTAAAAATAATTTCACCACAATTTAATCTTCCTCTAACTCATTTAGCATTTTTATTATTATTCTGATAATAATTATGGAATCAGTAATCAATAAATTTTAATGTACAAGGTATTAAATGAACACCTTGTTATAAAAAGTTGACAATGTTTATCTAACACATAATAAAATACAAAATGTTACACAAATTAATATTAGTTAATTACTTGCTGTTTGATTTAAATCATGAAAAAACTTATATAATTTATATATAATCTTAATATGCATAGCATTTAACCAATAATCATAATTTAACAAAATTATGTTATTCAATAAATATATTTTTAAAATCTTTATATGGTAATTAACCAAAAAGAGAATTACTAACATTTTTCCTAAATTACATAATAGACAAGTTATCAACAAATATAATAATACTGCTTTCAATAATTATATAATTTCTATTCCCTTAAATCCTTACAGAAGTTCAGATTCATATTTATATACGATAAGGAAGAAAGATGAGATAATTTTTGTATAGCACAGATAGTACATTAATGGAAAAGATGATTTAAAAAAAATTAAAGAATATTAACAAAAGTGGAATTAGCATAGAATTATTAAAACAACTTTATATTTTAAAAAATTATGAAAAAAAAAACACCCTAAAAAATTTTAGTGTTAAATAAGTTATATTTTTATTGAATATGAAATTTTATATGTAACTATATTCTTTTTAAAATTAAAAAAGATATAGTAAAGTATAAAATAACAAGTATAAATATCTATATAAATTTTATTTTCAAGATCATTTACATTGTAAATCTTTAAAATTTTAAATTTCCTTTAGCATTTGAATAATAGTAAAAAATTTAATGTTTATAACTCAAAAATACACATTTGTATTTATAAAGTGAAAACTTAGAAGAGTATTTTAATTTGGTATGCTAACTATAATCTTAAAAGTATAAAGCTTAGTAACATATTTGTAAAAAAAATAAATTACTGTAAAATTTCTCAGGAACCAAATCAGTTATTAAACTGACTCCCTACAGTTGAACTATCTTCAGCTAACAAAAATTGGAATGGAATAAAATATCTATAAAATGAAATAATATAAAATTTTTAGAATGTTTATACAATTGAATATAATAATATAAATTATAACAATTAATAAACATCACCATTTCTGTGCTTCTCATAACCATTTACATCACAAAGAATTGAAAAGAGACTCAAAGTCCAAAATGCATACTCTAGGAAATGAAATGTGATTTTCTAAAGATTGTCCTGTTTCTAATTGATGGTGTAATAAGTCTAGCGGAAAAGAAAAGCCATCATAGCACTCGTAAAATTAAATTAATAAACACATTTGATTTCCATTATAATCTATTGTGATACATCAAAAATGTTTATAACATTCTTTCACAATCTATTGTATTAATCATTAAATACATTTTTTTAAAATTTCATATTTAAAATGAATATTTTTTGAAACAGTCCCCACATTTATAGAAATACCATTATTTAATTACCACTTTTGCATTATTTTGCATGCCAACATATATTTTATGATTTAGAATATTTTCCTCACTGTTTATAAACTTTCTAAACAAATATATAAACAAATGTTATAATTTGAAAACCAGTAGCATTACATCTATCCAAAGCCAGGGTGTTCCAGAAGTTGTCAATGAATATTTACATGATCCTAGGATGATGATCAAGATGTTTTCCAAGTGTTTTAATGTAGCAGAGCTCTTCATGTTTGTTGATAATGTAAGGACAGTGAGTATGTGTCTTTTTAATCAAGGCTTTAAAAGTAACTAACTTGTTGTGTAGGGGGTCATGAGACCTAAGAATTAAACAGAGTTGTAAAAGGGTTTATGAAAAAAAAGGAGAGGAGTGCCCATGGGCAGCCTCTATCCAGGACACTTGGTGAGATGGTGATAAGATCATTAGAGAAGTCCATCCAGTTAAAATACAGTATATAAATCCAGATTTACACAAGATACATAGATGACATGCTTATCATTTGGAACAAAAACTCTGACATTCAG